AGGTCTTGGGGATTGGAGGGTCTTGAAAATGTAAATAGACAGGATGACCACTGGATTTCAAGGCAATTGAGATCCCATGAACTGTCTTTGCCTCAGATATCAGAGTTTTTTTCAGTTTTTGTGCTTTGTCTGTAGGTCAAATATGTAGGCTACCTCAGAGCAGAGCATTCTTGGGCTTTAAAATCTGTAACCAAAGGGGCTAGACAGGAAGGTTTGCTAAAACACACACATAAAATATCCAGATACATTAACAGAATGACAAAATACCAAATAATGAAGAAAAAAGAATACTGTTTCTTGACACAGCTCTGGATGTAAATAATAGTGTCCAAGAGTTACCATATTCGTTAGTAAAATTTAAGCAGAATCTCTATATTGAAATTGATCAGTGTAATTGAAAAATGGAAAATCATGTCAATCCCACTCAAAGAGAAAAAAATGTACATAGTCATTATTGCTTACATGAAAGGCCTCTGAGCAAAATTTATTTTAAAATAATAAACTCTGTATGGAGGATTAAACAGAATGTGTCCAAGCAATTTAAACAATCTCACATGCACCAGAAATGAAGAATATTGCATCCCGTTGCCACATGTAGATTTTTTGGCATTTAACAAGTTGTTAGATTATGATGTAGTCATTCCCTCAGTGGGGCACTAATCCTAGTCCTCCTGATTGCCTGCTGTCATAAAACCTGTGAGAACTTAGTATCAGTGAGATGCCTTCTTTCTGCCAAACTTGACTATAATTGACCAATGGGTTAAAAAATTACGGGAAATCATAATCACATACAGAATATGACTCCTCAAAACTGGGTTTAAATATATCTAACCTGTTCACACAGCCCCAAATCCCTAAATGTAATGCTTTTTCCTATAGGTGTCTCTAAATGATGCTTCAGTAATCTCTTATCTGTGAGTTATTTCTTACAGGAAAAAATAGCTTTCTCAGTAAAGTGATTTCTTCCTTTCAATCATCAGGAAATTGAGACTGATTTAGTTTCTCATCCCTCGAAAGCACAGTGTAAAGGAAGAAAAACACTCAGGAAAAAAAATGTTCCTTGTTACAGTTATACACTAGATTTTTGCAATAGTACGTAGAAATGACCTAACAAAGCTAAGCTATTTTTCTGTGTATTTTTCTGGTCAGTCTAACTAAAAGCATTACTTCCAGCTAAAAATCTTCTGGAGAAAAAGTCCTAAAAAATCTACAGATGCCATCAGAGAACCCCAATCACAGTTAGGACAACGTTGTGACTACTTCTGTAACATCTTGAGATGCTTCAGAGCAGTCATCAAGAAATATTGAACAAAGCGATAATATCTGATGCTTTAACATCAGCTTAAAAAAATATCCAGGAAGATCAAGATGAGTAATAAAACCAATACACTACCAAGGAGCAGGTGTCAGTGTAATTACCTAACCCATCCCTTATATAAAGCAGACCACTGCATCCCTGACTTACATCTCGTGTAATGGAGACCAATACTTGGACTCGTTCAACACTTGCTCCATGTAGGTCTGAATCATTTTTGCCCTTTAACCACTTCAGCTATATAATGCACTCTTAGTCCTTTCGTCAGGCTTCATTTGGTATATTCTTCCCTAATCCTTTTCTCAGGCTTCATTTAGTGTTTTTGTCAAGTAGAGGTGAGACAAAATAATTATTATTTAATTCAGTTAAGATATATTGGGCAGCATAGTCTGGTTCCAACCTAGCTCCAAAGAATTAAAAAAAAATATATGAGGGAAAATTTTTTCTCTGCACAAAGTGTCAACTCTTAATTTGTCAGTTTGATCATTGTTACCTCTCTTTTAAAACACAGAACTTTTTCTCCTAGTACTTTCTGAGTTACATAAAACACTTTCATAATCTTTACTGTTTCTTTCTTCCCAAGATGGCATTTAAAGTAATACACAAGAATCTGGAATTGCAGCACTGCCTGTGATTAAGACTCAGGGAAATGTATTTTACTTTCTCTGAATGGTCTCATATTTAAATAAAAGAACACTTTAAAGAAAAACAAAGCACTTAAAAATGACAGATTTCTTTCTCCCTCAGTAATTTTCCACCTTCTACCATTTTAAATAAGGAAGGTTTGCACTTTAGCACAAACTTTCACAGAAAACTAATCAACAAAATGAATGCATTACTAGGATATAACAGCTGAAATTACCACAGCAGGGTGGTTTTGTAGCTATGTTGGTACCTTCATTAGGCAACTCAGGCTGAGCAGGATAATGTGTGTGTATACGTGAGTATATCCACATATAGATTTCATAATGAGAGAGAAAGGCGGGCAGAAGATTGAGCCATAAGAGGACATGAGATTCCAAGAGTGAAAATTCTATATCCAGGATGCGTTTTGTTGGAATTCCCAAGATAAGATGCATTCCTCTCTGGCTGGGCTGGACTGGCTTTGCACAGAGGAGTCATGCAGATATGAATTCTCTCCTCTCTCTATATCATGCTCTGTCTTATGGCACTGTTAAATATATGTTACTGATAACTTCTCTTTTTTTCCAATTTCTCTCTTGTTTACTTCATCTGCCCTACTTTCCAGCTTTCACTTCAGACATCTATTTTCCAGGTTTTGTTCTCCCATGCTCTCACTTTCTCAAGCAATTTCCATTTCTCAGTCTGTTTTTAAAGTCAAGCTTCCTGCCTTCTTTTATTTTTTCATTTTGTGTTCCTTCTTTTTGTTTTCTTCCCATTCTCTCTTTCTTAGTACTACTCCACCTGGGTCTATTTTACTCTCTTTCTAATTTGACTCGAGTTGAACTTTCTACTCTCCCAGCTTTTTTCATGCTTCCCCACCAGCTTCTATATAATTTCCAGTCAATTTTTGCTTTCTTTAGTAATTTTCTTTCTCTGCCTCCTGGGCATGCAAGACAAGCTATTCACTTTCAGAAACAAAAAACAAGCAGCAAGCCTGCTGAACAGTCCCTGAGCAAGGCAAGACAAGTAATAGTTATTGCCAGCATCAGCCAAGCCTGCAGTAAGGCAGTCTCATAGGGAGCTGAGGATTTAGTCTGGGGCTCCTCCTGTGATGCCACCAGGCTGCTAGCAATGGGAGAAGAGAATAACTTTCCTTTGGGGAAGAGGTGGTGGCTGAAGCTTTACTAAGAAATGTAGTGTTTAAACAAGAAGGAAAACAATCTTTTCCCCATCCTTTGGAAAAGACAGCCAGTTGGAATCTCAGTATGATATTTATTCCCTCATACTTATACTTAGAGGGGTAGCCTGGGATTACCCCTCTTGACTTAATGACACAGCAGTATTCACTGATTTGAATGCCACCTATCTGGTAGTTCACACCTTGCAGTGCTGTTGCTTGAAGTAATTCTTGGATTCAGGCAAACAGCAAATATCTTGCATTAAATTTACCACATGTTTTTACAAGGCAGATTAGTTTGTGGGGTATCTGTTGAGACATTTTTCCAATTTATTTTTTGAAGTTCCACTGGATTTATTTGTAAAGGATGTGATAGCTCAGGGAAAGGTGGTTGTTTCTTCACTCTCTTCACTCTTCATGCCTTATTAACTAATGGCTTCCCTTCAAAGGGGGGATTCCCAATTTTTCTCAAATGCAAGGGGACTGATTTGAAGAACCAACTATGGTTCTGTTGTTTATGGTGTGGAATTACCTTCCCCACCATGTCTGCAAGCAGGATATTACATTGTTGGGCTGTGAGAAGATCTGTGGATAAGTACAGCCAAGCTTCATGCTCAGAGAGCTGTCTGCATGGGATATATGAGATATATGAGACAGCAGATGCATTGGAGGTTGAAAAAGCCACTTCCAGCAGGAGTGCAATGGGTCTCAGTCAAGGAAATGAGAGCACTCGTAGGTGGGATGTCTCCTTTACATCAGTCTCAAAGCCTTGGTTTAGTGTAAGAAATCCTAGGGGTACTCCACTGACAATAAAATCATATTTAGTTTTAACAAGTAGTTAGGTGATTGATGGTTATTTTTTTCTTTTATTTGCTTTGTGTGCATTTATATACAGATGATTATACTTGCTCTTCCTGTCATGCTGGGTTTGCTATCTCCGTAGATGTTGTCTGCCTGAGCCCCTCTCTATGTGTAATAGCGATTAGTCTCAGCTCTTCAAAACACTGTTAAATCTGTAATGGCAACTGACTATGTAATTTCCTAACACAATGTAAAGTTTGCAAGAATGAGCTTGAAAATATTTCAGAAATTGTTTTTGGGGTGTTTGTTGGTTGGTTTGGTTGGTTTTGGTGGGGGGGTTTTTGTTGTTTTTGGGTTTTGGTGGGTTTTTGTTTTTCTTTTTTTATTTAAAGCAAGGACACTTATAGCCTTTTAGTACTAATATTTTCATGCAGATGTGCTCATAGTTGGCCCTGTAAATATAAGTGGTCTTGGTGGGAGAAACCCTTAAGGCCTTAGGAAAAGAGTAGTGCTTTCTGCATATAGGGGTCTACTATATAAACAATTCTTTGAAGGACAGAAACGTATGCTTCTGTGTTTATAAAATGAAAGAAAAACTGCGAAAGAAATTTTTCTCTTCATTTCAACTAGCTAATAGTGATGCACATTTATATGGCCACTGGGTAAGTTCAGAACAGAAAGATATTACTGGTGTATTATTTGAAAACACAGGGCTTACATAACTTCATAACTTAATATAGTTATTGCAACACCTAATCTTGTTGTCAGGCAGAGTAATACCTATTTAATTTTTATCTTTCTGTCATATTTTCCCTTTAATTCCAATGGGAATAATAAATAACATGTGAAAAGTCACCAGAAGAAGACAGCCTTTAATCTCAGAAATACAAGTCAGACTGCACTGATGTTTTAATCACTTCACTAGAAACAGTGAAAATATTTTATAAATAGGCACCAAAAGAGACACAGGAATATGAGCATAAAGAAAATATTTGTGAAGAAAGCAGAAAGTCGTTTTTGAATGCCCATCATATTGTACATATTTACTGACCATTATTATCGTGATGTTTCCTCCCTGTTTAGGAGATTGTCAACTTCAACTGTCGGAAGCTGGTTGCTACAATGCCTCTTTTTGCTAATGCAGACCCAAATTTTGTGACTGCCATGCTAAGCAAACTGCGATTTGAGGTGTTCCAACCTGGAGACTATATTATCCGAGAAGGGGCTGTGGGTAAAAAGATGTATTTCATTCAACATGGTGTTGCTGGTGTCATCACCAAATCCAACAAGGAGCTGAAGCTGACAGATGGCTCTTACTTTGGAGGTAAGTAGGAAAAAATGAATGATAACACTGGAGTGAATGCACTAGAACAAAATGTGCAGATAACAGACAAAAAGAGATTTCAGAATAAGTCTACCAAATGTCTTTTGCCTAGACAATTCAGACTGCATTAAAAGGTATGCAAAATATTTCTGAATAAGTCATTCAGAGTCTGCTTACTGTTGTGGGGACAGTATTAAAGATGCAGGATGACCTTCCAGAATTTTGAAGTTATTTTAAATTAAGAGCACTGTTATTTAACAGACTGTTATTTAAATAAAAATATAATCATTTACATGGTAATTTTATAGCTTTCTAAAGGTAAAATTGGCAGGATTAATCTTTGAAAAAGGGTAACTTTTTTTAAATCATAAATTTAAGGGTAAAAAATCATGTTAACATTTGCAAAATTAGGCAATTGATAAAAGAGCAATTTTACATGGAATATTTTGTAATTCACAAATATTTCAAGTTGTTATTAGTGCTTTTTCACTGAATTTTAGCACACAGCAACATTTATTCTTCTGGTATATATTATAAGAAATTTGACTCGTCTGACTAGGTAGGTCTCTAACAGATGTATATTAATAAAGACAAGGCATGGGTTTTAATCCTAATTAAATTAATCTGGTAATCCTAATGAAAATAGCTTTTTTTTTTAGATGAAGGAATCTGAATACTTATATTTGGATGAAAGCAATTTCTTTTTTTATACCTAATAATTGACCAATATAAAAAAAGTTGTTCCTTATGACTGTAGATTGTCTTTGTGCAATAGTATAGGCATCTGCTTCCATAAGCAGCAGGAAGGCTGGTTTTCAGAAGCTAATTGAACATTTGTTACCACTGCTGCCCATGAAGTTGGCCATTTTATCAATTTTCTGTTGAATTCCATGAATCATCCCAGAAACAAGCTGTAACCCTTTCAGAAAATGTTCAATTGAAAGCCTAATCAGTGCCATTTAGCTGATATACAGAGGGCGGAAGCTTAGGAAAGTGAATTGGGCTCAGTGTTTGAATTGGGCTATAGAGTTATTTAACTAATCCCATTTTAGAATAATACCCTAAAGCAACTCCTACTGATCTGGCCAGCAGACCTTGTCACTCTGCAGTAGCCTCTGCAAGGTGATTTGTATCACCAGTATTTGTAGAAGCACTTCTGTAAAAGAGGTCCTGTGCTTATCCCGCAGGATTAAAGTGTAGATTCTGAAGACAGGAGATTAAGCAGAAAAAAAAGGTAAATGCTGAGGATGAAGAAACAGAGCAACCTTGGTCTCCTTTATGCTTAGCAGTGCCCTAGTTTATGAAAATGAGTTTGCAAGAGCCTGCGTGCTGAATTTGGCCATAATACTCCTCTGAACCAGAGAGGATCAGAGGAGATTGCACATGAAAGTATTTTACATAACTGTCAGCCTGTTGTTGCAGTGCAAACAACTATTTAGCTCATCCTGTTCACCCACTACCCTTCTTAACAGGAATGTAGGCAAAAAAATAAGCTCCTTGCAATATCCAGACACCACAAGAACTTACTACACTGCATACCAAAGCACTTTTGCTCATCTAAATTGCAGCTGGGATGAGACAGGTGGTGTAAAAATGGGTGCAAACGCATCCAAAGCCTGAAAGCTGCTGGTGCAAATGGAAGGTAGTAGCTGCTTCTGTAGCCTGGAGAGGTGAGGAGAGGCAAGGCAAGGTGAGGAAAGAAAGGGCAAGTGCACAGGGAGAGAGGACCTGAGAAAGGAAGTACCCTAAGATCCAAAGTGGTGTGGTTCAGATCTTTTGTAACAAAACACCATATAGTGCTGTGAATTTCCAGAAGTATATTTCAGACTCTGGAGAACAAAGACCTGTTTGGCTCAGAGGAGTTTTGGAAGTGTTCAAGGCCAGGTTGGATTAGGCCCTGAGCAATCTGATCTAGTGAATGGCATCCCATCCCATGGCAGGGGGTTTGGAACGACATGATCTTTAAGATCCCTTCCAACCCAAACCGTTCTATGATTCTATATTTCTATGGACACAGCTGAAAAGAGAGGACACAAGCTGCTCGTCAGATATCTGTGAATTGAAAAGGTTTGGATTGTGAAAAGTGGAAAATAAAAAATAATTCTAACATTCTCATCTCTCTGGAGAACATGCTCTTTCCCTGAAATTTGTATCAGAATCTGAGTAAAGTTTCCTGAGCAAAGCAGACACACGAAACACTGCAGAGTGGAAGAGCAAGCCTGCATTCAAATCCTAAGATCAATAGCCTCTTTTTTGTCTAATGGAGACATGAAAAATCTGAGGCTGTGGTGCTGTTTAAGAAGAAGATACAACTTATAACAACAGATCTGTATAACTCCCAGGTCTGACACAATAAATCAGTATCAACATTTGTGCTCCCAAAAACAAAGAAAGGGCACATAGGTAAGAGGGATGCACCATGCCTGAACAGATCCTTTTTTCAATTTTTAAATGTCTTATCATTTGAAATTTCCTTGTCCTAGCTCAAAAATGCTAACTTCTGGATGTCAGGTATACTCCAAAGATGAGTTACCTGGGGGCCTTGGCTCTGGAGAGATTTGGGAGTCCCTGGAGAATCAGTCTCCCCTCCAGAACACATGGAGGGTTTCACCAGCATCCTGCCTTGGATTTGAAAAACATTTGTCAAACTTATAATATGTAAAATGTTTGGATATTAATATGGATATTAATGGATATTAATAACATTGTATCAAGTGAAAATTAGGAAAAAAAAACTTAGCAGTAAAAAAACAACACTCAAGTTGTGGAAGAAATGAAGATTAGTGTGAAAGCCAATATTTAAGAACTATAGCAGTGTCACCAGTATTTGAATAGAGACTGTTGGGAGAGCAAAAGCTGATAAACCAAAAGTTGCAGTAAAAAAGAGAGGTAAAAAAATCTGGAGGTTTGAAGACTGAGATGCTGCTGAACATTTAAATTTTCTTTCCTGATCTTTGTTTTTAGCTAAAAAACAGACTTCCCTACAGATCTGGTCTAATAGGAGACTAGATAAACCTGACAATTTGTTGATAATTCTTCTCAAAAAGAACATGCCTAAAAAACCACCAGTGGAATAGACTAATCAGACTACATCTCTGCTGTACATTTTCTGTTGATTTTTGAAGGACATGCAAAATGATGACTTTAGATAGAGCCCTCCATAGACCTGGTTTTGATCACTATCTGCCTCTTTCCTCATCTGTGCTCACTGATTTCTCCTTTGTGAGGGAAGGAGTTAAGTACAAGGCTGTAACCACAGAGATCTTGTGGTTTGTTCATTGATATTCCTGTGGGAAGAGCATTCTGTCCCTTAACCTTCATGTGTGTTCATAAATCTAATCTTCTTGAACTTTGTGTGCAGGAGCATTACTTAGCCCAGCATTGTGTAGGATGCTAATTTTCATCCTAAAAAGATTTTTTTTCAGACTGCTGATTGAAGGACATTATCATCCTACCTATCCAAGTGCTAGTAGGAATTTCCAAGTAATTTTTCGTACTATCCTTTTTACTAAGCCATATTCCCCTTACCCTCCCCCCAGCTCTCCCTTTGATGGAATACATAAAATTCCATCAATTGAAGGAATTTTTGAGAAATGCTGACCAGTCTACATTCTGTCAGATCTGAAGTCAACATATCAAAAAGCAATATACCCTCATTATTAGATGATAAATATATTCAGAAAAAAATTATTTGAGGTTGTCTATGTTCTTTTAAACTTTTCAGTAATGACCACAGAGAAAATATTTTAAAGAGAGTGCTATAAACTATGTCAGGAACAGGCATGGACCAGTGCAAGGATTGTTTCATAAAGATTCTGGTCAATCCATTTTCATTTGCCTTTTACTGGCATTTGTAGAAAACAGCAAATTTTTACTACCTTACCTTAGAATCCCTGTCCTCACATGGTATGCTTAAATGAGTTTTTATAAAAAAGGACAGGAATTAGATGAGGAAGAATACATGAAACTAATTTTCACTATATTGCATGGTTATATAGTCATTTCTACATCAGTGAAATTATGTAAGCCACAGTTACCACTGGAGAATTCCAGGATTTTAATACTTTAGCTTTTATTGGATTTATATTTAATTGGGGCATATCTCATTTTTCTGAAATGTCTATGGATTTTTTTATGTCTTCCTTCATTTTTTTCCCTCTATTTTGTAAACCAACTTCTAGTTCCCCATTATTAGGAATGGGATTGCTTCCCCTTTCAGCATAGCACAAATGCATCTTTTCTCTTTAAAAATACAACAGAAACTTCTACCACTGACACAGTTTTCATATTAAGGTAAACAAGGTTGCCCTCAATGGAAATTATCATAGAACGACAGAATCAGAGAATGGCTTGGGTTGAAAGGGACCTTTAAGATCATTTAGTTCCACTCCTCTTGTCATGGTCAGGGACACCTTTCACTATACAAGGTTGCTCAGAGCCCCATCCAACCTGACCTTAAACACTTCCAGAACCTCTCTGGGAAACCTGTTCCAGTGCCTCACCACCCTCATAGTGAAGAATTTCTCCCTAACATCTGATCTAAACCTACTATCTTTCAGTTTGAAGCCATTCCCCCTTGTTCTGTCACTACATGCCCCTGTAAAAAAGTACATCTCCATCTTTCTTGTAGGCTCCCTTCAGGTACTAGAATACCTCAATTACATCACCCATAATCCTTTTCAGGTTGAACAAACTCTCTCAGCCTTTCCTCATAGGAGAGGTTCTCCAGCCCTCTAATCATCTTGGTGACCTCCTTTAGACTTGCTGCAAAAGGTCAATGTCCTTCCTGTTCTGGAGACCCCAGAGCTGAATGCAGAGCTCCAGGTGGAGTATCACCAGAGCAGCACAGAGGGGCAGAATGACCTCCTTGACTTGCTGGCCACACTGCTTTGGATGCAGCCCAGGATACATACAATTGGCTTTCTGAGCTGTGAGCACACATTGCCAGTTCATGTCCAGCCTCTCATCCACCAGCAACCCCAAGTCCTTCTCTCCAGGGC